TTTTTCATAAAGGTTGACGAAAGAAAATCGAGATCGGTGAATTCGAATCTGCAATCAGTTTCTCGAAATTCGGTACACAAAAAAAATTTCTTTTACCTAAAAAAATCGTGTTTTTCATACAAAACTTTTTTTTTCTCCGAAAAAAACGACTATAGGATTTCGAGAAACTGATTGGAGATTCGGATTCACCAATTCCAATTTACTTTCGTTAGCCTTTATAAAGAAAAAATCGTTATTTTCTCAAAAAAAACTTTCTTTCGTGAAAACCGACTTGAACAGGCAGCCGTACCTACGGTTATCGTCACCATTGCATTCCTAATTTCAGTATTTACATCAACACTGCACAACCCTACTCAACAGTACTATGATTTCATCTTACTTTATATTCAACAAGGACTATGACTACTGAACGTTTAAAGTTGTTTTTAAGGCCCTCCCTCAAAAAGTCATTTGTCGTCAGAATGACCAAAATTAAGATAAATGTAGGAAAAGATAACCCGTGATTGGATCTCTCAAAAACGACAAAAATTTTTACTTGGCATCTCGTTTTTTTTCCACAAGTTTTTGAAGATTTCTATCATCTTCTATGTGAAAAATAGAAAATCTTTTTCGTTTTTTTCTCCATTACTTTCAACTCCTTTTTTCCATTAAAAAGTAAGAGTCTAAAAAAAACCGGCTCTCATAAGCACTGGATTCTGACATGCTCTTCCAAACAAAAAAAAAATTAAATGTGTACACTGAAGATTACAGAGAATTTTTGAAGACGAAATGAACTATTGTTTGGTCAATATCTCCCTCAAACGTCATGATATAGAGCTGAAAAGTATACCATAGCCTTCCCACTACAGCTCAAACATATTCTGAAAATTGCATGCCATTCGAACGATTCTGTTCTGAGATTGAGTTTTGAGAAGGAGACAGCCTTAAGCTTTTGTTTGTCTGCTGTCTGGAATTTGACCAAAACTTCATCATGTAAAAATTGAATATTTTTTAATTTTCTAGGAAGAATCAACTAAACGTCAACAACATCCATCACATGGTTTTCTAACAAAGCTAACAACGAATTTCAAACGACCAACAACAATCTCACTATCTACACCAGCAGAAGTTAAAGATACGAGCAGTATAACCAATACTACTGCTACTACTACTGTTGACAATCATTTATCTAATATTGATAATCGTAATTTTCGACGTCAACCATTTTTTAATGTGACACGTGTCTCATTAACACGACCACCACATCAAGAATTATATGCTAAAATGCAACAAGAAGATGATGAAGACTGTGATAAACCATCTATATCATATATATCTGAAAAACGAACACCACAACATCAACAACAATTAAAAATGTATAATATTGAAGAAGATATGCATATGTCAGATGATAACTATAATAATAATTCTTTACATATTAATCCTAGTAGTAACGACGATGGAGAAGAAATGATTTTAACTGCTGCAAAACTTACACCACTTATCATATCTTCTCCTACAACTGATAATACACCATATATATCATCAACATCAGCAACAAATAATTCTCGATGTTAAAAAATCAATTTAAGGTTAGTTCATTTTATTCATTAAGAAATATTTTTGCATTATTCGATTATAAATATTAAGAAATAAAAAATCTTTGTTTTATTTTAGAATTCTTAAAAATCATGAAAAAAAAAATATTATAATATTTGTATTTATGGATTGTTGGTTTTTTTTTTTCTTTTAATTTTGAACGATATCTTGTCTTCTATACATAGATTTAGTCTACTCTGTGTTCACTGATGGTTTTGTTTTTTGTTTAAAACATTCTATAAAACAGTGAATAAATATTTAGGCTTCCTTCAATTTTCATATTTCAATCAGCGCAATTCTCTTTCATTTAATCAATTGTGATCAATTTTTTTTGAAATCTTACATTTAAATTATTCATACATAGACTAGCGTAAGATAACAATTTTGATTAATAACTTATTTTTAAGATGTATTTTAATTTAGTGTTACTCAAACTACATCTAGTCACAATTTTGCTCAATTAACATATCCTCTAAGAAATACATAGCACGACTCCAATGTTGTTAGATATGTTTTTCTTTTTTCTCAACAAATTGTCGCCTTTGTTGTTTTTTTTTCTCTCTTTTCGTGTATATTTTTGTACATTTTTGTGTGTATTAGAAAATAGTAGAGCTGGTTTTCATTTAATACACATACGAAATACTTTGTATTCTCTTTAATAATAATGTAAGCAAGAGTAGAAATATTATTTTATTTGTATTTTACAATAAAAACTACACGGATTTTCATCATTTGATGATCAAAAAGAGTATATTTAATTTTTGCTTATCGAATTAATCCATAAAAGAGTAGATGAAAAAAAAAAACAAAAGGAAGAATTACAAAGAAATTAGATGAACTCTTTTTAATATTCATTTCAACATCGTATAGACATACTGATGATTCAAGTTTATTCATTTGAACTATGGATTTTCTATCAAAAAATAAGTCTACTTCAAATTTTGTAAGATAATATTTGATCGTATATTGTTTATCTGTAGCATCAAGAAGAAGGATGAAATATATTAAAGGTACTTCTCCTCTTTTTTAGGCTATTCCAATTTCTCGAAGAAGGTATAACCGATGGATTACATGAATTTCGGCCCGTGACCTCAATGATCCTTAAAATAAAAAATCCAATTTTTTTGTAATCAGTTGCTAGATATCATAATGCTGAACAGGACATCACATAGGTATGAGTGTAAGTTTCTTCTCTTCTCCCACACTCAAACTCACACATCCACGCACACCCTACGCCCATATTATAACGTCCTGCTCAGCACCACGATACCTCGTAACTAATTAGGGCATACGAAAAGTAGTGAGCCTAATATCGTATTTTCGTACAGATCGCTTGAAAAAATTTTCTTTTTTTATGAACAGATAGAGTGTTTTTCGCTCTATTTTTCTATGCTATTTGATCACTATTCAACTAATATCATAACAATAAAATTTCGATTAGAACTATTTTTGTTGAAAACTAGCTGGTATCATTAAAACATTATGGGTACGGCACTTTTGTATTTCATCTTTTCATCACATAATACCTTGTATTGAAAACAAGAAAATATACCACAAGGTGGAGCGTGAAAAGCTCTACAATTTATAAAAGAACATTTATTTTATAGTTGCACTTTTTTGTTTTCAAAATGGACAAAACTCTGGGCAAATAAATTACGACGTTGCGAAAACGATATTGTGTTTTGGTAAAAGACGAATTCGGTTTCTTTTCTATCTCATCTTTTTATAATTATTCTTTCTAAATTGTAGAGCTTTTTATACTACATCTTATAATGTATTTTGTTTTTCAAAATAAAACATATCAGGTAATAAAAAGATGAGATAGGAAAAACCGAATTCGTCTTTTACCAAAAAATAATTTCGGTTTTGTAACGTCGAAATTTAGTCACTCAGAGTTTTGTCCATTTTGAAAACAAAAAAGTGGAATTACAAAACAAATGGTCCTTTATAAATTGTGAAGCTTTTCACGCTCCACCTTGTGGTATATTTTATTTTTTTCAATACAAGGTATTATGTGATAATAAAGTGAAATACAAAAGTGCCGTACTCATAATATTCTCATGGTAGTAGCTAATTTTCAACAAAAACAGTTCTTATCAAAGTTTTATTATTATGATATTAGTTGAATAGTGATCAAATAGCATAGAAAGATAGAGCGAAAGGCGCTCTATCTGTTCATAGAAAAAGAAAATTTTTTAAAGTGGTCTATACGAAAATACGATATCAGGCTCATTACTTTTGGTATGCCCTAAGTAGAAAGAATATTTTAATGAATTCTGTTCTATATAAATCTTGTTTTTGATTTATCAAACCATCGTGATCTAATTCATTTCGATTTTATTAAAGATTAAAATAGGACGTGCAGTCACACACTCATTGTAATAAAAAAAATAAATGTTTTTATTTTAATTTTATATTTTATCAAAATATGTGAGATAAATAAATCGAGATTTTAATAAATAGATTGAAGAACATGACGAAGACCACCTATATCCATATTAAGTAATTGACGATTTCGATCTGTTTCAGTATTCGGTGTTATTTCTGTATTTAAACGACGTCGTGTTTCTAAAGCACGTTGTTCAAGCATAACTGAATTTGATTTAACTGCTATTTCATCTTCAATTCGATGTAATTGTTGTTGAAGAATATTCCATGCATGTCTAGAACAAATATTTTGTTTTGAATTTTCTTTTCTATGTGTTTTACTTTGTTTGTTTTAATTGATCTTCTAAAGCACGTTTTTCAGCTTTTAATTGTTGCATTTCATCACATAACTAAAATTTAGATTTGTAAAAAAAAAAAAGAAAAAACCCTGATAAACATACGCCATAGGTAACTTCGTCCCGAACTAAATCCATTCCTGGACGACTATGACGATTCTCTTGTCGAGACATAGCTAATTTAATTAATGGTTCTTTATCTAAATTAAAATAATGAATAAAGATTTTTTTTATTTTTCAAAAGAAATTCTTTTACCTCGAATAGCTTTTTCTAAACGATCAATATCACTTTCATTACTAAGTATTTCTTCTTCCGTCTAGAATAATCAAAAAAATAAATAAATAATGAAAAACACGAATGATTTTATGAATTAGGAAATACTTGTTTCTTTTGCCATTCAAGTTCTTTAAGTGCACGTTCAAGTTCATGAAGACGTTTTCGTAATGCATATTCACTTGCTTTACTTTGTGATTCAAGATCAGCTGATGATTGACCAATTGTATGAAAGATACTTTCACGAAGACGTGTTGATTCATAAACTAAAATAATCAATATATTCTAGTAAAATATTTAAATTGGTTCTTTGATTTTTCATGCTTGAATATACTTTCTTTTTCTGCACGATCTTTATTATATTTTGAAAATGCAATCCATTCTTCTGGTGTTATTTGTCCTTTAATTGGTCGACATGGATCAGGTTTATAACTAATATTTGGTGAAAATTCATTTAATTGTAAATTTTCTTCACAAATTGCAAAAGCCGTATGTTTATCTTGTAAATCCTAGATTTAATTAAATATTCTTAAAAAAAAAAGATTATTTATAAAGAAAATATTTACACGAATTAATTGTTGTTTAGCTTCATTAAGACGAGAAATTTGATCAAATGCTGTTTGAACTTGTTGATGAAGTTGCCGTTTAATACCATCAATAACATAAACTTCCTTAAAAAAAAAAGAAATATTTAATTTTTTTTTCTTTTATTTTGATATAGATAATCATATACATACTTTTTTCAATTCACGTTCAGCTTCATCATCAACATTATCAATAGCTTTACGACCATCACGTGTAACATGATTTTCCAATGAAATATCTGAATAAATATTTTTATTTCGAATAATAAAAGTAAAAAGTAGTACCTAATGGACTTCGCATATGTTCAAGATATCGTTCACATTGTTCTTTAGCAGATTGTATAGCTTGAATTTCTCGATCAACATCTTGAATTGTATATTCAAGTGTTTTACGCCATTTATCTACTTCATCAAGTCGATCAGAAATTCGTACATCACTAAATGAAAACAACAACAACAACAACAAAAAACAAGCAGTCAGCGTTATTTTTGAAGATTTTAACAGTTCTAATGGATTCATATTTCATCGAACGAACCCAGCTTTTTATATTTAATAGTAAATTTTTTTTTCTCTGTTGTCATGATAATTTTATTCAACTAAAAATAAATAATATTTTGTGAGCGTACTTATCATGTTTATTCCACCATGATTCATTGTATGTTTCATTGATTAATCGTCGACCATCTTGTCGTACTTGATGTGATACATTTCGACTACGTTCAGCATCATATGATATCGCATAACTATAAAAATTTTTTGAGTAATATGATATAAAACATCTCGGAATAAAACTCTTACTTATGATTGAACCAGTCTGGTACACTGTATTTAGCGCGTGGTTTTTGTTCCAGTGTTGGATGAAGTGTATGAACAGTAACTTCCGATTGTGGCTTCAATGGTTTAGACAGTGATGCAAATCCACTCATGATGAAAACTGTCGAACCAAACAAAAACAATACAACAACAATAATGGCAGTAGCTGATCCTCAGTGAACACCCAAGTTATGTTTGTTTGCCATTCCTATCGATATCTCTATGGATAATCTTGACAACAAGGAGTTTTTACTGAAAAACCAATTATCAATAGAAGAGTATTATAATTAAAGGATTTTATATCGTTTCTACTTTTTATTATACTCGGATCTATCGTCAAAAAGTAGGCAAAGATGTCGCTAGAAATCATTCTCAGCCAACTTTCCAATGCAACCAACAGGTCATGACATATCTACAACAGTCTATGGGGCATGCTGAAGGTTTGTCTTTCTCACTATATACTTCAACACTCATTCCAGTCTTATCTACTTAGAAATCATTAGTCATCGAATAGATATTAACAATCATGTACTTCTCTATGCTTCATAAAGTTGGAAGTTTGAATTCGGATAGAAGCTATTTGA